AAAATAATTTCCGTTACCATTACGTTGGCTGTAAAGATAATAAAGTAATCAATCCCCCTTCATTATAATTAGTGCAGAAAGTAAAAACGACTTGAAATATACTGAGAGCATTTCGTGAGGAAAGGGATTAGGGCTTGCAAGTACATATAATTCTTTTAGATAATTATCAGCCAAAGAAGTCTTATTCGAAAGAATACACTTGGTACGAAAATCTAATTAAATTATTTTTTATAGTGAACACGTTCGCCAAGTTGCGTACTTGACTTTTCTTTCAGCTTTAGTGAAAACATAAAATGCATTCTTGTCCAAAAACCAAAATATGGAATTCAAAATCTATTCAAAATCTTTTATAGGTATTCATAAGCGCTTCCCAGGCGTCAGTGATCTACAGATCACTTATTAACATAAGTATTAATCCGCAAAGACTGCACGCATGATGATGTTTTTCGCCAACGAGTCGTCTCTTCGGCAATCAACTTTCACCGGGAGCGTAGAGTGATCCTTAATATTTGCCTCGCTTCCCTCACTTCGAAAACTAAGTAATCTACATATTTGCATTTGTATCTTATCTGTTTTAGCTATAATGCGTATTATCTTGCGGTACGAATGAGTAGAAAAGATTTTTTTCACTTTCAAAAAAAAACAAAAACAAACCTAGTCGGCGTTGAACTTTTCTGTCAATCGAAGACAGAGAATGTGTAGTTTTTTTTTTGACTTCAGATATATGCATATAATTTTAAATATGTCGAACTCTAACACGCGCGCTTCGCAATTATCGAATAAATTAAAAACGCTACATATCGCAGCGGGATATATTGCAAAGAGAAAGCCAAAAATGAAAATATGCACAGAAGCAAAATATATTGAGCAAATTGTCAAAATTATTAAGAGAGATTTTGCTGCTGACATGGAACTGGTAAAGGGCCATGATAAAAATTGCAACGCTTTTCGTTGCAAACGGTCGGCAATTGAAGCTGGGCAAGTTAGATCCGCATTATTTGAAGCCACTAATATTGTATCGATATGGTCGGCCGAAGATGATTTTGTTTACGGCTCTTCCGAACCTAATTGGTTTCTTAAGAAATCAAATGCAGTCAATAACGAGATGATATCGGCATCTAACGAGCAGTCAATAAATCCTTTCGTTCAGTTCTACATCAGTAAGGATACTAACGATATTTATACGTTTGCGGAAATGATGCAAGTTGCCACCCAAGAGCTGAAGCAAAAGTATGCCGTTGTATGCAATGAAAAAATGATATCAATTGAAAGGTTCGAAAAACTTTTAATTTCTACGTTATGGTCGCCGCTTGCTACGTTCACTGGGAAGGAAATCCGTACCGAAAAATCAATAACTGACGGTTTACTACAAATACCGAAACGTACATTCAATTTAACCGATGGATTACTGCAAATACCAACAATAATAAAAAGGAAAAATTCCCTCCTAACTGACGGTTTATTGCAAATACCGATAAAAGAAAATTTTGAAATGCGCAGCGTAACTGATGATTTCTCGAAAATATCAACAAATGCAAATTCCGAAGGATCAATGTTAACCGACGATCTACTGGAAATACCCATAAAACGGATGCAATCATCCGATTTTTTCTAATTCCATCTACTGTGTTATCATTGTTTTCATATTCAATTATGTAGATTTTTATAAAAATGTACCCTAATAAATATGTAGGTGTCATGTAAACAGTGTCGGTAGTTGGGAGAACAAAAATTCAGTTTCTTTAAATATGTAATTTTTCGCATAGACAATTGCAAAAAAAAAAATTGTATTGACACAAAATGCATATTCAAATCGGATCGGTAAGAGAAGTGCGAATCAAAGGAAAGTCAATATAAATGTTAATATTGATTCAGTTACGTTCCAAGTTTTTTTTTTTTTTGATAACTGCTGGTTGCACATTTGACGTCAGCACTTGTCGCTTATACAAAAATTGAAATATATTTTTTTTTTTTTTGCATAAGACATAAGACCAACATGTATATAGCGAATAGGAAATTTTTGCTTGAATCCCTTTAGGAACGAGGAAAAAAAAAACACAATTACGAATTTCAGAAAGTCTCTCTGTAGTCAAGTCTTCCCTATTTTCCTGGGAGCTGGCATTATTTTCGAAGAGAAACAGACGCCGGAAAGTTGGTTCACAATTTCTTTTTGTTACCAACTTCTACATATATTAAAAGTATGAAGGCTTCTTTTCAAAATTGTCAAAATAGCAGAAATAAAATTTTCATTTCAAAATTTTACTCCTCGTCAGATATTAGTTTTCGCATTTTGATAGCAGCAGCATATGAGATTTGCATGAAAAAAAGACCAATCGTTGTTTTTTAGGCTTTCCAAGGTCGATGACTTGTTTTTTGCGCCCTTCAAACTGGCGATGAATTGAACCAAGTGATAATCTTACAAAGGCTAACGTTTGCCTATTAAATGCTTCTATGATTTCTTTAATGAGAATTCGCAATGTGGACCATAGTAGTCAAACCATGACGCTGCGATGTCGGCATGAATAGTTAGTGATTTTATTGTTGTTATTGATACCATCACCATTGTAATCATTGTCAACCAGAGGCACTGACCCTGACGACATCATTGCCGAAACGATTGCTGACACGATATTTGTGTGTCTTAAAAATAGCTAAAAATTGTTGCGTCATTGTGTCCAATGCGTTATATTAGTTTGGGGAAAAAGAAATCCATTATTTTTTCGGTAGATGGTTGCACTGATTCAGATTTATGCTCGTTGGAAAGGTGACATTTCGCAATAAAAAAAATTCTTTTGCTCTTTTTTGTTTGGTGCATTCAGTTGTGAGTTACAGCGTGTTAAAAATGGAAGTGAACAAAGAGAAAATTCGGTACATTTTACAGTTTTTCTTTGACAAAGGCGAAAATGCAAGCCAGGCGGCTAATATTGTGAATGGTGTTTATGGTTCCGATACTGTAACAGCCAATTATGTGCAATTTTGGTTTCGTAGATTTGATGTTAAAGATGCACCTCGCACAGGTAGGCCGGTCGTCGAAAATGTCGATAAAATCGAAGAAATGATCGAAGTTGACCAGCATGTTAGCAGTCGTAACATCGCCCAGGAGCTAAAAATCGACCATAAAACAGTTTTAAACCATTTGTACAAAGCTGGATTCAAAAAGAAGCTTGATGTTTGGATGCCACACCAATTAACAGAAAAAAACATGATGGATCGAATTTCCATCTGCGAAGCCTTGGCCAAACGGAATGAGATAGACCCATTTCTTAAACGGATGGTGACTGGAGATGAGAAATGGACCACATACGATAACCCTGTGCGAAAACGATCGTGGTCAAAGAGCGGTGAAGCACCTCAAACGGCCAGGAAAGTTTTGCTATGCATTTGGTGGGACTGGAAGGGGATTATTTATTATGAGTTGCTTCCATATGGCCAAACGCTAAATTCTGATCTCTACTGTGAACAACTGGACCGTTTGAAGATAGCGATTGACCAGAGACGGCCAGAATTGGCCAACAGAAGAGGTGTCGTGTTCCACCAGGACAACGCTAGCCCATACATATCTACAGTGACTCGCCAGAAACTTCGGGAGCTTGATTGGGAAGTTTTAATGCATCCGCCATACAGTCCGGACTTGGCACCAAGCGATTATCATCTTTTTCTTGCATTGCAAAATTTCTTTAATGATAAAAAATTGGAATCTAGGGAGGATTGTGAAAATCGAATACTAGAGTTTTTTGCAAATAGAGACCAGGACTTCTATGAGAGAGGCATTTTGCAGTTACCTTTACAAAGGCAACAAATCGTACAACAAAACGGTGCATATTTGACCCAAATCGGACAATCCGAAGCATGTTAAATAAAGTCCTGAAGTTCATATAAAAATAATGGATTTCTTTTTCCCCAAACTAATACAGTGTTATTGGTCTGGGTTAACAAAATTTCGATATCATATTTCAAGACGAGTGTAACCTCAAAATATCAAAAAAAAATAAATAAAAAATCTTCAAAGGTAATCATGTAGGTGATAATTAGATTTCGGTTTTGTATTCAGCCTTGTTTGCCACACAGCTGAATACCAAAATGAAATCTAAATCAGGTATAACTTCTGCTTATTTGAAATTGCGAGCCAATTTAACCCGCTTGTAATAGTTTTACGCTCACCTGAAACTCGAAGTAGAAAAAAATCCATTCATGTATACGATAATGCTTTCTTTGTTTTTGCCTTGTATTTTAAAATGTTTGTATTACTTAAAGGCCGGAATAAAAATGGTTCAACACTAATAATAATACTAATTAATTATTAAAGAAAATCAAATATGAGAACATCTTGAAAGACTACATGTCCAGTAGAAAATGACGAGAATTGACGATATTGGTAAAAAGGATCACTTGTAAAACTGAAAACTAGTACGCTATATACAATTTGCAATACCAATGCAATTTTGCACAGAAATAAATCAACTCTATACAGAATGATTTGCTTCGATTCTGGGATGGGGGTAATCTGTAATGTAACTGAAAGTTAGTCGTCGCCTTTGCCAAAACGTAAGCTTTGCCATGCAATTACGTAATTAGCTCCTTGTATAGATGTGTAAGTGATGCCTAGTTTTTGATCTAACTAAAAGAGTGCTCATGTCAATTGTAAATGAGCAACATTCGTTAAAATAAAAATAAGTGAGAAGCGAAAATATGAGAAATGTCATGGAGGCAGGGGGCATGGTAACAAGATCGAGAAAACTTTAATTTACTAAAACAATGTTTAAATAAATATATATCAACTTATTAGTCAATTTATTTAAGGAAATTAATTTTTCTTTTTTTTTTTTTTTCGCTTTTATTAGGAAAATTCGCATTTATTTTACATTACTTAGCCTCTCTGCAGAGGCTCTTGGAAGATAACAAGAGTCATACGTATGGCGGAAAATGGAGCCAAGTTGGAAATATTAATTCTTTGTGAATTCTATAGCGTTTTTGTCGAATGCTGTATAGAGTTGCAACAAAAGAAATAAAAAATTGATTAGGCATAAGCTACAGCAGATAAGTGTACTAAAATTTGAACATATATTCTATGGGCGATGCTATAGTATACGCACAATACCTTTGTAACACATAGTGTCTAGGTTGTATCACTATTAGAGAGGTTGCTGCGGATGTTGGCATTGTTGGATTGGCTCATGCCATGCAATTTTTTCGAATGTTTTGCACACGATACGTGTGGCTGTGAAGTTTATTCGGAATTTGTTAAATTTTGATCAGCAAGAATTGTCACATGAGCATCGCTTAGGAATTGTTGAATGACAACGGCAACAACAAACCCGATTTTCTCGAACGCGATTATAACCGAAGAAAGAGACGAAACATGGGTATATGGTTATGATTGAGAAGACCCGTGAAAGGCCGGAATATTGTCGCGATTAAGGAGATAAAGGCCGTATTGCAAAAGGTGCTCAGGTGCTCATTCCAAAAGCGCATATTAGAAGTGCTTCGATGATTTGAAAAACACACAGGAGCATGCGTATTACGTGTAAGGATGGGATGTATTGTGAAGGAGAAAAAATACATATTGATGAAATGCATACATAAATATTTTTCTAGTAAAGTAAAAGGTCACATTTTTTTTTTTTTGAACACACCTCGTATACGCGCATACATACGTGGATAATCTACTGTCTACTACCTTCAATTAATTTCCGTTGTTTTCTTTCCTTTTTTTTTTTTTACATAATCATGTGTAGAAGAAAAGTATTTATAACGCTATGGATGCTTTGTTATATAGCGTATAATACGCTATGGATGCTTTGTTATATATGTGTAATATGTATAATATATGTGTCTGCTTTCCTAAACATATTATAATTTACGGCATATGACGCGTACTTGTAGTTGTATTGTATCACTCATGACCGAACTTATTCGTGGTAGAGAAGCAAGTGTTTTTCCCTATTTGCACCATTCCTATATTCCGACATATCTTCCTCTTCTTATTGTACTTATACTATTCATAGGTATTATTGTATATTGAGGTTATTGTATATTGAGAATGTGTTCGTATGTTAGTGCAGGTATAAGCAATTATTTATAGGTGTGGGCGTGTGACATATTTATTTTGGAAATAAATTCAATTTTGATAACAGATTTGTTTTCTCCTTTTGATTTTTATGGTATTCTTGCATGTGTTTCTCATATTAAAATCTTTTTCATTGAAACGAACACTTTCGTAGAGTTGCAATTGTTCACTGGTATATATAGACTCTCAAGGAAAATATATGGGAGTTTAGTACATTGAAGAGCCCGCATTCGTTACACTATCGGCAACAATTTTTATACTCAATATCAAATAACATAAACTGCATACGTTCGAAATTCTCGAGTCGATCCGATTAAGTGTATCTGTTGGTGTTCGCTTTCATCCTGAGCGTACAAGATTCCCTCTACAGTCGTTTCGAAAATAGTTTATAATTTTCACAATAATTAAAAAAACATTTAACAAAGATTTCGATAAAAAAACTTGTGTTTGGATATGGAACTGCTAGTAAAGTAAAATGTTCGTAGTTGATTGTGTAAAAAGTTGGAAAAGGGAAATGGGCTGGAAGGAGCGCAAGTCACCATTAGGGATAAGAAATTTATATTTTAGATAATATTATTTTATGTCATTTATTTACAACAATAACAAATTAAAAGACTATCATTTTCGTTTCGTTTCGAAGATTGAACAAAGTCGCCACCAACAACATAGTTTAAGCCTGGAAAACGTCAGCAGTGTAGATACAATAGCGAGAAAGGCGGGATGAGATCTTAAATCAACTTATACAACAAGGGCAACCAAAGGCATGATCTTACCCGTTACGATATGTTTGTTTTCCTTTTCATTATATGCAAGTAAAAAATGTTCATATTACTTTTTTACAGAATTAGTGGGGGAAAATCTAATCACTGCTGCGGAATTTACACATTTCGATGTAATTATCTTTAACCAAGATGGACTGTTTATACTGTATTATACTGTTTTGGCATGCATCAAGTGTACCGTAAATATAGCTGCAAGGCAAAAAGAAGTTCGTGCGATGCTTCAG